GAAACTGTGACATTGGGATTTCTAGCTAGCTCAGGTATGTATATTTTGAAGCAAGCAGAGCGGGATCATGATAATATAGTACTTAACAACTGATTAAAAAATAATGAATTCTACTTAACATATGTAGTACGGGAGTGTAGTACAATTATGAGACAGTACAATCATTGAATTAAGGAACTATGGAGGAGAAATTCGGTTGACAAAGCAGGAAGGCATGTAATATGTGTATGTATTAATATACAGCGTTAAGACGCCCTTACTCATCTGTAAGTCTTACATAAATTGAGGCAGTACTCATCACGGGTGTGACAGGTAGCCTTCCGTCAACGTGGGCATGGAAGATAATTTTACTCTGTTACCAAACTTCTCTGGTGCTCAAGCTGTATTGCCAATTAAACTGAAGCAGTCAAATCGCTGAAACAAGGGGAGGAATGTAAATGAACAGAATAAGATGTAGAAAAGATGTAGAAAAGCGCATATATCAAAATTCCAATTCTGCAAGTTCAACAAGAAAGTTTGGCTATGCATTTGAGGAAAAACCCACTCAAGATTAATTCAGTTTTGTTATGTTGTTATGAATATTTAGGTAGTAATTTGTAACTTTAGGGAAAATATGTAACTTTAGGTTATTCTTAATTTCCTATTTTAAGAAAAAACATCTATTTCTTAAAAAAAAAATTGTTGAGCAATAAGTTGGTTTTTTTTTTTTGGCCAAATTGTTCAAAAATAGCTTTGGCTAAATTGCTATAATATATATTTTTTGAACGGTTTACAACTTGAGAAAGAGCGATTTTTTCAAGACGTTGATGAGGTTCGAAACCTCAACCAACGAAACTAAGCACTTAAAGGCTTAAGGACGAATTACTTGGACTTAAAAGCCCAACTCGGCTAAACTGCTAATATTAGTACCTCAAAATGATAAAAATATAATGGTTTTCCTTATGTTAAACCTCCTTTTTGGTCCCTCAACTATTGTACGAACTACCAATTGAGTTCTTCAACTCAAAAAATCCTTAATTTAATCCCTATTGTTTACTATTTTAACCCCAACTTGATCCTTCTATTAAAAATCTGCCTGTGTGTCTAATAAAAGCATAGATTATATGTCAAAATATTAAGTCCATGGGGAAAGACAACATGGCAGAAAGCAATGATATGGCAATAAAAACTTAAAAAATTCTCATTTAATCCCTATTGTTTACTATTTTAACCCCAACTTGATCCTTCTATTAAAAATCTGCCTGTGTGTCTAATAAAAGCATAATCATATGTCAAAATATTAAGTCCATGGGGAAAGACAACATGGCAGAAAGCAATGATATGGCAATAAAAACTTAAAAAATTCTCTTTTTTCCC